GTGGTGGGTGCGTGGCCTACTCTGGCAGGAAGGAGAGGGTGGGGTGCTGAGGAGCCACCAAGAACACCTTGAGAGGTCACCACCTGTAGGACAGAGTCCCCGAGGGGAAGGTGGGAGTGTGGGGGTGTAATTAAGCCCAACATTGGAGAGATCGTTTGCTGGAGGAATAAAGCACAGAAAGGAAATGAAAAAATACGCCTCCCCCCAAAATTCTGCTTGGAGCAAGGATGCAAAGAGTAGGTGGGGGAAGTTCTATTTGCTGAGGGTGGGGGTCTCTGCAAACAGCTTCTCAGCATGCAGCGCAGCAGAGGCCTCGCTGGTGTTTTCCTCATGAGAATGACTCTCCCGAGCACTCCCAAAAGTTGAATCTGAAAGGCAGAACCACAGTTTTGGGTTATCCAAGAGGCTGGATCTTCCCTGGAAACAAAAGAGGCTGTGATCTCTCAAACGGCTTAATTTGATTTTATCAGAAATGTACAAAAATTTCCCCCGCAGGCTGGGCACCCTGCTGAGGGATTCTGGCCCAGCGTGTAATTAGCCTGAGAGAATTATCAGCATTGGAAAATAAAACTTGGTACGATAAGACGCTCCAATTATGGCGGCGGTGTCAGTTATTTGCTCCTAATATGTATGCATTTATCCCACCCTCTCGGCGGCTGCGCGAGTCCAGCCAAGACGATCCTCTCCCGTTATTGCTCAACCCCGGGCTGGGAGATGGCATATCTTCGCCTTTATTTTTGCTGGCACATCCGAGCACTGAAGCACATTAAAGTAATAAAATTAGGCAGCAAGGCGTCCTCGTCACTCCCACTGTGTTCCCGTAACCCCCTCATTTACAGCAGAGCGAGACAGAAAAAATGTTTTAGAGCAATTTAAGATGAAGCAACGCTGGATATGTAAATCCTGCTTCATTGGCAGTTATGGCAGCGGGCTAATTCCTCTCAAGTGCCGGGTGCCTCCCGTCCGCTGGCCGCGCGGGGGGAGCGGCCCGGGGCCCAGGCCACGCGGGTGAGGGCACAGCCCCTGCCTTGCTGCTGTGCTCACTGCCTGCCACGCCGGGTGGGGGTGGGTGGACTGGTCACCCTCCCCAACTTCCAGGGTCCCCGGTGCAAGGCCAGCCAGGGGTCTGCTGAGAGACTGATGCTTTTCCAGATGACAAAGGCCCCTTTTGTTTTTTAACAACTATATCGCTTCTCACCTTTTTTATTCCTGCTAAAGACACAGGTCCTGTTCCTTGGGAGCCGGGTACTGTTCGCAACAGGTGAGGTATGGAACCGCGCGGCTGCCCCACGGCGGCCGGTGATGCCTTCCAGAAACCTGCAGTGGCCTGTGCGTGCCATGGAATATGTCGCAGCTGTTAAAAAAGATGCACTCGTGCTGGCTGGGTGGCTCCTGGGGGATGATGCTCAGGGAAAAACATCAGAAAGTGAAAGGCAATTACCAGATGGTCCCACTCGCTCCGTACAATATAAACAAGTAAAGAAAAGAAATTAGCACAACACAACATATGGAACCCTGAACCGTGAACGGAAAAGGTGGAGGGTGTGCTAAGGGGAGGCAGGAGAGGAGGTTCATGGGATAGGGTCTTGGCAGGAACTTTAGTGGGGGGTGAGCACAGGTCGAGGGGTGAAGTTGGGCTCCTCCATGATAGGGTTTTATCAATAAGTGGCAAATCAATAAAACTTGGAGAGGAGGAGCTGGGGAGCATGATTCGGGAGATGTCAAGAAGGAAGCTTCCGTGGGGAAAACACCGGCTGGTGTTAAGGCAATCCAAGAAGCAGACAAAGCAGAGAGACCTGGGCCGGCTGATTCCTCCCCAGCTGCCTGGCCTCGTGCTGCAGAGAGACGGGCGCGCAGACCAGGGCTCCCCGTCAGGCTGAACTCCATGAAGACTCCCAGCCAGGCAGAGCACTCGGGGGCTCAGCGGGGATTTGCTGCATTCAGAATGAGTTATAACAGGATTCCCAAGGCTAGGGAGACAAGGGAGAAGGAGAAAGAATACAATTACCCCACTCTGCAGAACTTATCTTAGACTTTGCTGTGCTTAGTGTAACTACTATAAAAATAAGAGGTTTAAAAGCTGTGGAGCAAGTCGGGACTGGCTGAAATATGTGGCTTTGTGTCCCTGCACTTTCATCCCCCCCTCCCCCCTTTTCTTGGCTTGACTCTGCCCAAACCTGTAGCCCTTGAGAAAGTGCCGTGATTTAAGAGGGCTCCGAGCAGCAAGCCCCTGGGAGTTTCTGTAACTCAGCTCTGTGCTCTTCTTGCCCCAGAACAGAGGAAGGAGGACATGGGGCAACTTTCAAAATGGCGGCCGAGTCATGAGACACCCAAGGCAGAGAATGGCGGAGGGGAGCCCTCTTTCAGGGGTCATCTGCAGGGGAGCTCTTAGGACTGGCTAGTAGGATGCTGGGGTGCTCACTGTCTACCTCCCCATCCTTGAGTGCAGAGCAGCTTCTCAGATGCCAGCTGGGGTTAAGCATAGACAATCTCCTCCAATATGTGGCTATGTGATAAATGCCGAAGGGAGGTAGGAAGGCTCGGGGAGCTGGAGGGGTGTGAAACAAGAGCTTAGAGGGTTCTGAATTAATTTATCTGAGTCTATGGATGCCTCTTTCTGTGTTCAGTCAACTCACTATCTTCTTGTTATGGGGCAGCACTAATCAACTAGAAAGTCTGCAGTCTTCTTACCGAGGGATCATCCAGAAGACTGTTCTGTCTTCCACACTGATAATAATGCTGCTGTCCCTGGCTAAGGTGGGGCTAGGGCTGGTGTTTCCTCCCAGCCAGGTCCCTGAACACCAACGTCCCATCACCTGAGGGGAAGTCAGGGAAAATTCAAATTCCTAGGCCCCATGCACTACCCACTGAATTAGACTCTCTGTATTTTTTAAATGTAATGTTTTATTTTCTTTGTATTTTTAATAAATATTTTTACTTACCTTTTGTTTTTATTTTGAGGTAAAACATGTAGTATAAATACCCAGGCCTTGACTTAATCAATTGAGTACAACCGTGTAGCCATGCTTTAAATCAAGTTACAGAACATTTCCACAACCTATAAAACTCCCTCCTGTCCTTCCTCCCCGATATTTCCAGCTTCCAGGCACAACTGCTATTCTATCTCCCATCATGGAGAGAAGGTTACCTGTGTTTAAACTTCACCTGCATTGAATTACATACAACATTCTTTCAAGTCTTGAATTTCTTTCAACATTATGTGTGTGAGATTTATCACACAGTTGCTAGTTCTTTCCCATTGTAGTGTCTGATCATATGAATAGACAACTTATTTACTCACTCTATTCTTGATGGAATCTGGTGGTTTTTTACCCCAGGTTTTGACTATCCTATGAAAGCTGCTAAGAATATTCGTATAAGGGCCTTTTGTGCCCATAAGCACTCATCTCTATTGGGAGTGGCAGTGTTGAGTTATATGTTTAGCCTTGGCAGGTAACTATGCCACAGTTTTCCAGAGTTGTACCAATTTGCACACTCATTAAGAGTGACTGGGAATTCGGTTGCTCTGCATTCATGTCTTCACTTATTATTGTCGCACCATTTGGTTTTAGCCATTCTAATAGGTGTATATTGGTATATATTTGTTTTTACTTGCTTCACCCTGTGCAGCAATGATATTAAGAAACTCTTTATGTGCTTATTGGTCTTTTGGAGTTTCTCTTTTGAGACTGATCAAGTCTGTCTAAAATTGGGGAATGAGTCAATTATCCTCTTAATTTGCAGGGCCCTCTTGTTATAAACAACTACTCCAGTACGAAGTAAGAACACTAATGACAGAAAACACTCTCTGAAATTAACTTACTAACCAACTAACACCTCTCTTCTTGACTGGAAAATTTTCTTGAGACCTCTGTTTTCCTTTCTTCAATTCTCAAGCCAGGAGCTCACTTTCTGCCTATTCAGCCTTTCTCTCACCTTTCTTTCAACTATGTGTGGTTGACTTGGTCTTTGTGGATGAAATGTGGCTGCCTGTGTTTCTGTTGGTGAGTTCTGGCTCAGTGTAGGGCATGAAGTCTGGAAATGCGAGCCACTCATCCATACCTCCTCCTTGCCTTCCCAGTACTTGATTGGTACCACAACCTTGTCACACACACATGTGCAGTGGAGAAAGCCAGGAAGAGGAGGAAGAGTTTTGGATCTTCCTTTGTCAGCCTTAATTCCACCTCTTCATCTCCCAGGAATTGTGCATTCCCCAAGCCTCCTCTCTCCTTTCCAACACCAACACCTGTCTTTTTCCTTTAGCACAGGAAGGAACAGGGGTGTTCAGTGTGTTTCTCTGCCTTAGTTTGGTGTGTGTGTGTGTGTGATTGTGTGTGTTTGTGAGTGTGTATGGGACTTGCTTTGGGTCATTAGTGAGGAGCTGTCTCATGTCCCTCCATCTTGGATGCCAACTATGCAATAATCTACCTTCAGGGTCAAACAGTCCCCATCTCTCTGCACCCCATGAACCAAAGGGACAGAAATGTCTTATTGTTTCCAGGGTACTCAAAACTCCTGTACTCCAGCCCTCCCATTCAGTAGAGACTGTTAGGGATGGTGTCTCAGTAGGAGAGCATATTGGTCTGCTTTTTAGCCTGATCACCCTGGAGAGAGTGTGTTGCTTCTGAAAAGGATCAAGAGGTAGAAGGGAGGGGAAGAAAAGCAGAAGGAGTCTGATAACAGATAGATTCCTTCTTCTTGTTCTTTCCCTCTATGACCTGCGACTCAGAGGCCAACATGGCAGGAAGCGGTGAGGTGGTGGGGAAGGAAGAAAATGATCCATGCAGAATGTGTGTGTCCACACGTGTGTGTATGAGTCCTCCTTCACCCTACACATCCAGCTCCAACCTGGTATACAGGCTGTGTAAATGGCCTCAGGGGGTTATTTACAGTATCATACCCATGAATGAACAAGTCTGTCTTGATTTCACATGGCCGTGGAATCTGGCATTTGTGACTGTGAGAGCAGCTCAACTGAATATTTCTTTTTCCACTTGTAGGCTGGTTATGATGGCGAGAGTATTGGAAATTGCCCATTTTCTCAGCGTCTTTTTATGATTCTCTGGCTAAAAGGTGTTATATTTAATGTGACAACAGTGGATCTGAAAAGGTGAGACAAAGCTTCTGCATTATTGAAATGACTGCTCCTGATTTCCTACACACACACACACACACACACACACACACACACACACACACACACGCCCGGAGGACCCATGGCATGTCCATTGGTGGTCAGGACCCTGAATTGAAGCCGGGGCGTGGGCCAAGTGGTAATTACAAGATCATCGGCTGACTCCACCGCTGTAATCAGGAAGGAGTAGGTGTGGGGGCGCCAGAGGAACCTGCTCTGCCAGTTACTGGTCAGCTGCAGACCTCCCCAGCGCCTGTCTGAGCATCAGTCCTGGCTGATAACACCGGGGAGAGTTAACTTTTTCACCTCCATACCCAGAACAGGGACCATACTTTCATCGCCAGTGTGACACTTTTACACCCACAGTCGCCTTTGAAATTCTCCAGGGTTGTTTCTTTTTGATTGGCGAGGACGTGGCTAAACCTTGGAGGTCTGGGCACATTTCCTGTAAACTCTGCATTTTCCTCCCACCCAGGAAGCCTGCGGACCTGCAGAACCTGGCTCCCGGAACAAACCCTCCTTTTATGACTTTTGATGGTGAAGTTAAGACGGATGTGAATAAGATCGAGGAGTTCTTAGAGGAGAAATTAGCTCCCCCAAAGTAGGTATCATAAAAACAGCATCCATAACTGGGTTCTTCCCCCTGACCTCTGTTTCCCCTCTCCCCCCACCTTTGAGGACAATTCTAAAGTGCTTGGCTTCATGCATTTGGTGTTCTATGGTGCTGACTCCCTCAGCTGGACCTGTGGTATGCCACAGAAAGAAGCAAGAGTAGAAACTTTGAGTTAAGAGGACTTGGAGAGCTTTGCACCCACAGTTTGGCTGCTAGGGTTGAATGGCAGGAAGTAGAGAGGAGGCTGGTGGGTGTTGAGTGGTTTGGCCATTTCTGGAAGGTGTCTGCGTTGACATGCAACATCACAAAGTTCTGGAAACTTCTAGTCCATGTTCTACACTTCAATAAGGAGGGCACTAAGCCCAGTGAGGCCAGGTGGGGCCCTCCATCCCAGGATGAGACAGTAGATCCAGAACCTTCTCCCTAGACTGCATTGCTTCTGCTCCTTGATCAAAGACTGAGGAGGCTGTCAAGGGGAAGTTTTCTTTTTTATATTCACTCAGAGAATGATAGCCCCTCACCACCACCATGTCATCCCCCCTCGATCATTGCTGTCTGTGACACTTTCATTTTGAATTTTTCAAGGTATCCAAAGCTGGGGACTCAACACCCTGAATCTAACTCTGCAGGAAATGATGTGTTTGCCAAATTCTCAGCATTTATAAAAAATACCAAGAAGGATGCAAATGAGAGTGAGTGTCTCCATCTTCCTGTCCCTGTTTTCAATGTGGACCGCCGCGGGGTGGGGGGCAGCTCATGAGAAAGCCCCGGGAATTCTGGTTATTTCACAGAGTGTGGGGTCCCGTGTTGAGAGACAAAGAGAATCCCTCCAACTTTGAAGCTGCACATGTGTTTCAAGAGACTGAACATTTTATCTGGAGGTTGGGAGCCCAGAAAACAACATTTTTAGGGGAAAATAATCACCATACAGAAATCAGTTTACATGATGTTGCCCCAGTGTCTGCTTCATTATTGGCTTCCCAGAAATACATTTTTAAAAAGATTTATTTATTTATGCATACAAGAACTGGGGTACAGGCCAGAGGTGCCTGCGTGTGGGCGGGGGGAGAGGATTCACCAGAGACAGAGTGGGGAACAGAATAGGATGACTGAAATGCACTGCTGAGGGGAGCAGCAGGGAGACAGGAGAGGTCTGCTGTGCCATGTGGGTCACCTCCCTGGCTGGGGATCGAACTCGTGCTGCAGTGGCTGTGGACAGCTTCATAGTGCTGCTTCACACCTTGCTCCACCAGGGAGGGCCCCTCATAAATACTTTTTTAACAAATGAGTAAGTTTAGCAGTAGCAATGTTGGGTAGACATTATTGAAATGACTGCTCCTAATTCCACACACACACACACACACACACACACACACACACACACACACACACACACACACACACCCCGAGGACCCAGGGGCATGTCCATCAGTGGAAGCAGAGCTATTTTCCAGGGAGGGGTGAGTCCTTTACTCAGACTGTGTTGCGCCACAGCCTTCCTCCTGCCCTGCGTCTGTTTGTCTTGGGGAGGACAGGAGACGCACGTCTTCTTTCTTACCTAGAGAAAGGAAGCTCCAGGGCTCACTGTTTGCCGTTCTGTTTCAGTTTATGAAAAGAACCTGCTAAAGGCCCTGAAGAAGCTGGACAACTACTTAAATAGCCCTCTGCCTGATGAAATCGATGCCTATAGCACCGAGGAAGTCACTGCTTCTGGAAGGAAGTTCTTGGATGGGGATGAGCTCACGCTGGCTGACTGCAACCTCTTACCCAAGCTCCACATTATTAAGGTTTGCCGCTCCTCCATCCCGGGTGCTGGAGACATGAATGGGGCTTTGTTTGATTTTGTTTTGACTTGTGTTTTGGCCAGACACCGAAATCACCTGAAATGTGCACCGCAGAATTAAAAAGTTGAGCTTGTTTCTGTTTGAAACAGCCAAACCCCAATTTTCAGATACACAGCATTTCTCACATATTCTTTCGTCCCAGGAACTGTCTGGGAACGTGGCTCCCATCCCCCCGGCCCCCATGTCACAGCTTCTCTTCTCAGTGTCACCCCCCACCCCGAGGGGAAGGTGTGGGAATGCACCTTGGGCACAGTGGCTGCACGGCGCTTGCTGCCCCGGGCTCACTGCTGGTGCGTGGCATCTGTAGTATGAAAATGTGAGCTGAGTCACTTGTGGGTGATCATTGGGATAAACATGTCATCTAGAGATGACAAGGTGTGTTCTCTCAGCTCTTACATGGACCCCAACAGCTGGGGTGCAGCAGACAGCTCCTAGGCTGGGCCTCTGCCAGGCTTGGCCTCTGGCTTCCCAGAGAGACAAAGAGAATGCAAGAGTCGTGGGCCATTCCCTAACAGTGTTGAAACTCCTGGGCCAGTGCTTCTCCGGCATTAGCAGGCATATGATTGTCTGAGAGCTCTTTAGAAATGCAGGACACTTGATCCTGTCCTGTCCTACTAACTAGAACTCCGGGGGCTGACTCTGGGATTCCAAGGCCCCCCACTTGGAGACTTCAGTAGTGCCCCACCTGGCACCTTGCTGCCACAGGTGTTAATGGTTATTTCCATGATCACATTGCTATGCCCTTGACCTGAAGAAACCCCAGATGTTCCAGGAAGAAGCCCAAGACTTGCTGTAGGGCATCTTGATTATTAAAATCCCACCAGGTCTAGAGCTAGGTCCTTGATATAAGGACAGGGAAGATGGAAGCGAAAACAAGGGCAAATACAGGGTTAGAAACTTGTAGTTGGTTGTTGCTTGAATAATGCATTTAACTGGCATTAAGAAAACTAATTTACTGGTGGCATTGCTACTTCTGTGGACTAGCAGCCCCCACCCCCGGTCACCTCACGTCATTCCTTTGCTTTCTTTTCTGGCATTTCTTCCTCCTTCTTCCTCACTATGCGCTCCCTTTGTCTTCTTTCTGTTCTCTTACATGTTGAGCTCAAGGGGTATCAGCTTGAAAGTCAAGTCTTGAAAAATGTTGTTGATCTCACAAGTGAATGTTCTTTTCAACAAGTCTGTCGGTTTCCTGGTGTCTAAAATTTATGACAGCATTGCAACCCCTCAAAATCCACTACACTGCTGATTGTTCAGATGGGGAGTCTAGTGAGCATTTCCCAAAAAATGTCCTTGTGAACTTCAGTGGATTTTTCCTGGCCTTTGTTCTGCCTGGGGTAGTGTCACAGAAGGACACGGAGGTGGGGGAAAATCAGGAGGAACACTCGAGTCATACAACATCAATGGTCACTTATTTAGCTCCTATAAAAAATGTCAGAGGAAGGGGTAAATGACAGTAAAATAAATCAGTCCCTGACTCCAATATAAGACTTAAGAACAGAGTCTTCAAAGCCATTTAGCACTCAGATTACCAAACAGCTTAATAAACTTCCAGGATGGAGCACTTCTGAAAGGAAATGAGAAACAGTCTAGAGGATTTTATGGTAGAAGATGAGAGAGTAAAAGAATTTATAATTTAAATTTAATATAAATGTATAATTTATTCCCCTTCCTGAAACCCAGAGGAAACAATAAGAAAAACAGAGCATTAACTTTATCTTTCATAAAATCAGGAAAGGACAGATCCCCAAGTCAAAGACAAAGAAGCTTCACACAATGTGCGGTGTCACAAGATCAAGGCACATTTCTCTACATGTTTATCAAGGTTAAGGTTTCTCTATAAGTCAATAATGCAGTCCTAAAATTCCCAAATCAAACATTTTCTGTTTGAGGATGAAGGCGTGGTGTAGATCTCATACACACACACGCACACACACACACACACACACACACACACACACACAGATCACTTTCCAGCTGAGAGCTCCAGCAGGCAGAGTTGAAGGAAGCTCACAGAGACACAGTCTTTGTGTTCTGCATGTCCCCAAGTCCCCAACAGAGGGAAAGTGGGGAGAGGAGAGGCAAAGCCTTGAAACATTCAAGAGAGAAACTGTAAATTAGATGAACATCACTTTAAGCCATGAGGATCTACTGCTGAATGTGGATCTACTGTGAATCTGTGAATCTACTCTCAGAGTGGAGAATGTCTTAACACAAAGTGTGAACCTAACCCCAACCCTAAATAATCGTAGCCTTAACCGTGAACCTAACCCTAACCCTGAACTTAATCTAAACCCAACCCTAACCTTAAACTTAACTCAAACCTAACCCTAATTCTAAACTTGAACATAATCATAACCCTACCCATAAACCTACCCCTAACTTTGTACTTAATCCAAACCTAACCCTAACCCTAGCCCTAACCCTACTGTGTGCCTGGGGCAGAGGATGGAGCAGTGTTTGGTGACTGGATATATGAGATTTGTATCCACATTGGTCTACCAGCTGCCCCATCTCACTCCCTTGCTCTCCACTCTATTTTAAAAAAAGATTTATTTTATTTATTTATGCATACAAGAGCTGAGGTGTAGGCCAGAGGTGCAGGGGGTGAGAGGGTTCACCAGAGACAGAGTGGAGAGCAGAACAGGTGTATCTACTGAAATGTACTGCTGAGGGGAGCAGTGGGGGAGACAGGAGAGGCCTGCTGCACCATGTGGGTCACCTCCCTGGCTGGGGATCAAACTCATGCCGCAGTAGCTGCCTTTTGCTTCATAGTGCTGAGATTTAACCCCTTGTGCCACCAGGGAGGCCCCTCTCCACACTGTTTTTTGGAATTTAGTGGATCCAATAGTTTTGACTCAAAAGAATCCAAGTGGGACCTGTGTGTGGATAGAGATGATCCAAAGAGAGAGGCGAGAAGGGATAAGGACAAAGAAGAGGGAGAGGAAGGTGAGAGTCATGTGAGGGAGAGTCACTCCTACAAATCAGAGAACTTCACAGACGGATACCTCACTGCTGCCTCAAAGAAATGGAAGAGAACATGAATTGCCTGAGAAAAGCTCCAAGACCAGATAGACGGTGTAAAAACATGTATAATATCCCAAGGAGAATGACGATTAGGCTGCCACAGCTCAAGAAAAAGACTTGGGAAATAAGTAAAAGTTAATATTTGAAGTAGCAAGAGATGGACACTGCAGGGAGTACTCAGGGGCGAGAAATCCATCAAAAATCAATTAGAGACACATCAGGAGGTAAAGGTGGTTAGATAGATGCCAGATGTTTGTCATCAGGAACGAGAGATCAGAAACAGGAAGAGAAAAGAGCAGATTCAAAGGAAATATTATTTTGAGCTAAAGGATGACCTGAATCTGCAAGTTAAATAACATGCTGGTGACACACTATGATGAGTTTAATAAATAAGCCTTGAGGATCAAAAGACTCTGGGGTGTTTTATGATGAGAATGGTAATAATAACAACAACAATAGCAACCACAGTATCAATAATAATAAATAGTAAGATCACCTGTGCAAGGAAGAAATTCAGACTGACCTCATCTGTCTCTGTGATCACATTCAAAACCAGAAAGAATCACTTAATACTACAGAGAATTAAGATTGTGTGATGTAGACTTTTATATTAAAAAAAAATATTGTTTTTGCCAAGACATCTGAGCTCCATAAAATGAATACTCTTAAAAAAGATGAAATTGTGATAAGTGAATAAGAATCTGGGGACAGCGGAGATATGAAAGGACTGGTAAAGAATAGAACCTACTTAAATAGAAAAACTACAGCTAAGACTAAACAATAATGAGACTATAATAGTTGCAGGAATCAGTGTAAATGTGGATGTTTTTACTCCTCTGGGAGAATAAATGGAGAGAAGTGTCACTCTATTCATTTCCTCATTTGTCACCAACAGAATTAAGTAGAGATGATCCAAGGGTGATATAAGAAACCGAGAATTCGGTTTAAATGTTTTAAATGTTATATGGGAAACCTCTGGAAGAATTAAAATAGACCCTAAACCTTCTAAATTGCTAGAAAAGGAAATACACAAATGCACAGATATCCACAGAAAGATGGAGAGCAGAATAAAGTATTATATTCAGAAAATGTGATAGCAATAGAAGTGTACACGTTTAAGAGGCATACATGTAACAGATTTACTCCCAAATGTTAAAATAAAGGGTTAAAGAGAACCAGATAAATGCCAACAAAAGGAACGAAGAAGTTTAAACAATAGCATAAGTAAGTTTGAGTTTCAGCAAGAGGTGTTAGACAATTTAGGAGGTTCTCTGAGATTTATATAATCCCGCTTTGCTCCAAGGCTTCAAAGTCTGGAAATCAGTCCTGAAGAACTTTTAATCTGTGACACATCCCAAGCTCATGTCTCTCAGATGTCCCAAGATTCAGTGCAAAGGGAGGCCACAAAGCAGAACTGGCCTTTGAAACCCTGTGTGCCTGCTATGGGATGAATGGTGTCCCCCACGAAATTCATGTTGAAGCCCCATGAGGTTATTTGAAGATGGCGTCCTCCAGACCTTGTTAGTTAAGGTGAGGGCCTGTTGGGATAGATTGGTGTGTGACTGGTATCCTTACAAAAAGGGGGATTTTGGACACAAACACAGGGAAAGCACCATGGAAATCCTGGAGTTGTGGTTCCATGGGATCAGGAGGCCTGGAAAGCAGGAGAGACACCTGGAGCCAATCCTTCCGGGACCCTCCTCAGGGAGCACACCCTCCAGACGCCTTGATCTCAGACTTCTAGGCTCAGGACTTTGAGGGAATTAGCTTCTGTTCTAAGTCACCCGGTTTGCAGAACTTTGTTAAAGCAGCTGCAGGAAATGAATACTGTCCCCACAGAACATACCCTCCTTTGCGACAAATTCCCCAGCATCGCCCTTTATCTGAAAGAAACATCTCAAATGGTGTTTCCCAAAGTCTTTACTCTCAATGGTGTTACTCTTAATCTCACACCCACCACTTCCGCAATGATAAAGATTGGAGATCCTTGTGTTCATCAGTCGACCCCTTGCACGTGGTAGCCCCCCAATGAATTGTCCTCAGTGGCAGAATGTTGGAGATCTGTGGGGGTTATAACATACACAGATACTTGGGATTTCAGCATGTGAGGCCTGGCAAGAGGGAACAAAAGACGGCACTTGACAGTGATCCTGGCAGAATATAAACCAAAGATTCCACACAAATCTTTAAGCGTCTGATAACACCGCAGCAGAATACATAAAGAAAATCTACCAGAAACACTGGGAGAAATCTGCCCCAGCATAGAGCAAATGCATGCCAGTCCATCCCAAGCTCCCTCTGTGTTAGATTGGTGGGCAGCATAGCGTGGAGCTGCTTGGAGTCCAGTAGATGTAACTTCTATAACCTTTCCTGTCCCCAGTATGTCCCATGCATAGTCTAAGTGGAAGTGGGGGTAGCTGGAGGTAAATGACCTCAGGACTTGAGGAAGAGAGCATATCGCACACTTCAAAGAGTGTGTTATCTGATCTCATTGCCTACATGAGTGGTTTTCCCTTTGCTGATATTTTCCTCTTCATTTTCAGATCGTGGCCAAGAGATACAGAGATTTTGAATTTCCTTCTGAAATGACTGGCGTCTGGAGATACTTGAACAATGCTTACGCTAGGGATGAGTTCACAAATACGTGTCCAGCTGACCAGGAGATTGAACGTGCATATTCGGATGTTGCAAAAAGAATGAAGTGAAGGGGATGGTGGTGGTGGTAGTTTTTCTGTCTTATTTCTCAGTCGGATGGGCTATGAAAAAAATATGTTCTTTGGACCTCACCCTCCTTTGCACGCCCTCGCCCCAGAATAAACATGCCATCCCTTGCTTAGTGATGCCCATATTTTAACGGGCCCATGTGGTAGTGTGATGCACTCATCACTTGTAATTTGTGTATCAGAATAATACCAGTCTCTGGTTGCACACACTAGTTGTCCAGTTTACATTAATTTATATCTTTTATGTTCACGGATCGTCATCTATGCTATCTGGGACGTGTATTTTGCAGTGTAGGCTTCGAGGTAAATTAGGTTTGAGTTCAATTTCTCCTTCATTTAAAAAAAGAAAAATTGCCTCCGATAGTTTCCATAATCATACATGGCCTGTTTTTCTCCTCTGAAAATAGTTGTTTAAGTTTCTTCAGAACGAGAGTGCTGTCCTTGTAATCGCAAAATGATACAGGCCTATTTTAATATTTAAAAACAATGTCAGAGGGGTTAAAAGAAGGAAGAATTCCACTAGTGGAGCGCAGTGGACTCTCACTGCACTTAGCTAACCCCTGAGGACTTGTGGGTGGCGTATCCAAATCCTGAGTCTCTTTCCCACACATATTCACACCACACGCGAGTTCCTGCACAGTGGAATTGTCTATTTTAAAGGATGGGGGCGGGAGGGGACCTCTTGGCCTGGCCTTGAAGGTCATCCATAGAGGGCCTCAGACCAAAGGTCAGCCTAGCCAGCCAGACAGGAGGCTTGGAGGCTTGCCTTCTGGTTTCGCAGGGATGGGAACCCTAGGGGGTGCATGGGCAGGGCCCAGAAGCATGGGAGGTCCCCCCCCCTTGTTCCCACTGCCTCCAAGATGCTGCTGCCTCCAGTTCCAGGAAGCCAGGGAGAAAGTGCCCCCCAGGCCTTTCCTTCCAGCTGCCTTTCCCAGGCCTGCTCTCACTCCCTCCCTCTCGGAGACACCGGGTCTTCAGGACACTCTTCCTAGCAGTTGCGAGTGGTGGGGAATCTCCTCGCTGCGTGGAAGTGCACCTGACTCCTTCTCACAGCTGCTCCCTCTCTCTCCAGCATGGCTCTTCAGCCACAGTGTGGTGTGAGGCCGGCCCAGCTCTGTGCCCTTCCCCTGCATCATCCCACAGCAGCTCTGGCTGGGAAGATCCAGGCTGGTGGGATTCATGGTGACAGTTGTCAGGCAGTGCTAATGAACGGTCAAGCAGAAAGAGGGCCTCAAAAGCGTTTTCTGGTTTCCCTGACGTGCCCTCCACCACGTCCGGGGCTGTCTCTCTCCTTCCTCCGCGGTGCGTGGGAGCCGCCTGCCAGGACCCCGCCGAGGCAAGAACCCGGGGCTGCTTTGACGCGCATCAAGACCTCCCTGCGCTGACACCCACCCGGCTGGGTCCCTGGACACCACGCACGTGCCCCGGATCCTCTCCCGTTCAGTTGACTGTGGCGTGTGGTTGCTGCGAAGATGCTCATTTTAAACATTTGCATCTGCTTTACGGGAGGTTGATTTTGGAAGAGAGCAAACCACTAGCAGAAACTGTTTAGGGATTTAGCGCAAAATGCCCAGGGACACGAAGCCCTGACGCCGTCTCCACTTTGGCTCCCTGGGCCCGGATGCCTCGGTCCCCTCCAGGCTGCCAGCTTCGCGGTGTGGACCAGACACTTGCCGGGGCTGGTCTGCACGTGTCTCCCTGGGTAGCATTTCACATCTGCTGAAGCGTCATATTTTTAAGACTAGGTTTATGATGTTACATTTAAACTTGGAAAATGAATTGACTACCAGATGTTCCTAGTGTTAACTGTATTTTTAGATGTTAAAATGATCTTAAACTCCGTGTGCCTTAAAAATTAAACAAATTGTAAAACTGTTTAAACAGAGCCAATATCGTTAATTTTTTTCTTTTTTCTTTCTTTTTTTTTTTACTTTGTACCCCCCATTTAGCTTTAAAGAGTGACTGGAGACGGGCTGTCTGTAAGATGGTGACAGCAGTGTGGAGCCAGAGAGGGCTGGTACTTGCTTTAGAGATAGTCAGTGCAGGAACGGCGAACCGCAGAGGCATTGGAAGGGCGTCTTTAAGATGTGTGTGAGCTGCGCTCCCACAGGTGGCTGCAATGGAGGTTTTACTTACTTGTCTTTAAAAAATACATTATTTTGGGCCTCCCCTGGTGGTGCAGCGGTTGAGCACTGGGCTGCAAGGCTGCCCGCAGCCTCTGCAGCGCTGGTTCGTTCCCTGGCCGCCGGTGAGGGTCCCACAAAAAAAAAACAAAAAACCCATTATTTTAATGGAGGTAACATTGGATAACACCACCAGACATGCTTGAGGGGTACAGGTCCTCATCTCTCCAGATGTACCTCACCACATTCATTGCAGCACCGTGTGCAAAAGCCAGGTGTGCACACTCAGCTAGGAGAAAGATGAACGCTTGCCATGTGCAACAACATGGCGGAGCTGGAGGGGATGGGGCTAAGCAGACTTACTTTTTTTTATATATTCAAAAGAACAGATTTATTAAAAAGGAAGAGAAGAGTCAAGGGCGCTTGCACAGACAAGCATGCAGAAAGAGCGGTCCCTGAGAGGGACAGAGAGGCGGCAGGAGAGCTGCTGTCCAGACTCCCATTTTTTAATGGAGCTGTAGGGACGCAACCAACTCCTTTGTCTTTCCCTTCTCCTGGCCCTGCCCCAGCCCCAACCCCTTCACAGGCCCCGAAAAGCTGGTGTATGTGGGAAGGTGAGGAATATTCTAGGGCTGCTTGACAGCCACAGAGGTGTTGCCTTTGAGCTGGGGGAGGAAGCTTGGGATCAGGCCACTAATGGGATCCATTCAACCTGATGTTGTTCATCTGCTCTTGGTGGCTTCTGCGTCCAGGGTCCTGCCCAGGTCTCCCCCTCACCCCTTGTGTTGAAGGTGTCCCGACAACCTTCCTGGAGAGAGGCCAGTTTTCTTGAAGACAACTCCTCTCCGTTCTTTGCCACAACTCCCTTCTAGCAGTTTCCCTGATGCACCCTTGGGTGAGGGACAAGGACAGGTACCATGGCTGACTGGCCTGGGGCTGCCACGGCTCACCTGAGACACAGACCTCTGTTCTCTGCAATGTTCTCTGTCCACATGTGGACATGGGGTCCTGTGCCTGCCGGACACCTCAGCTGTGGTCGCACAGTCACATCATCTCTCTGAGCCTTGCTCTTCTCTGGAAAATGGGAACATTATCTCACCATCATGTTGAAAGTAGTTGCTGGGAAGTTCCCTGTGAACGCCACCACACATGGCTGAGGACAAATGGATTTTTCAGGCACAGCTCTTCCTGTGTGGGTTATGTCAACATGACAGGGCATGAAATGACACATGGACAGGACCTTGAGCCTTGCTCATGAGGGGGCAGCAGTCATGCGCTGTGCCCTGCCTGAGGGATGATGGTGGTGCACAGCTCAGCCGTCCTCTTCTGTCAGCCACTGTCCACAGCCTGGCCTCAGAATGTCCTCAGAATGTCACTACTGTGGCCTGATGGCACCATCAGGCTCCCTCTCAAGTGGCCTGAAGATACTGTTTCCAATTGTAGGACATTTATTTGAGATCCTGAGATGTGGAAAAGTAGGCAAAAACCAATGTGTGTGTGTGTGTGTGTGTGTGTGTGTGTGTGTGTGTGTGTGTGTTGGGGGGCGGTCTTCAAGGCTGAGCCCCAGGCCCTGTGGGGCCTCCTTCCCAAGCCCACTACTAGGTGGCGCTGTCTCCCATCTCCTGGAGCCAGGACACCTCACCCTGCCTTCAACTGCATGGGCAACAAGGGTTGACCCCCCACTACCCTGATGCAGAGACAGTCTAGAGAGTCATTAAACCCAATCCAGCCTCCTCTGTGTCAGCCCAGGGCATGTTCCAGGGTGGATTTTCAGGGCCAGAGAAACCAAGCGTGTGGACTGGGCTGCTGGCCTCAGCCCGGCTCCTGGAGGCCCACACCCAGAGGATCAGGCTGCATTTTCAGGTGCTCTAAGACATGTCTGTGGAGGGGCTTCGGCTCTGTCCTGCCACGGAAGTGCCCTGCCAGACAAGAGGCTGTCCTGCTTATTGGTAACATAACTCACTCGCCCAGCCCCCTTTTCCCTTTCTTGTTTGTGAAGGCAGGTGGGGTCGGGTAGACACTTCCTTGGAGATTTTGGGAACTGAACAGAGTCCTCTGGCTACTCCTCCACCTGCTCCTCCCCAAGCCCAAGGAACCAATGCTCTCCCCGGGCCCAACCCACCTATAGCTCAGAGAGGCATGAGGATTTTCTGGAAGGGAGGAGTTCCTGGATTCTGAGAAACCTACAGTCACGAAGGGCCCCACATCCTCTCCTCACAAACCTGGGTTTCCGAACCAGCAACCTCCCTGTCTTGTTCTCACAGCCCCTGGGTCTGGAAGAAAGGACCAGGAGCACCTGTGCAGGTAGTGGGTGGGAGGAGGGACTAGCCTACCTCCCTCTCACAGCCATGTCCCCCAAATCTCCTTTTGGCCCCTCTCCAGGGATGTGTGGGCTACACAGGGAGGAGGAGCTTCCTGCTTCTGGTGGGAGCCCTGGGGTCAGGTGTTCAACACCCCTGGGGCTGGGATCTATTCCTGACAAAACTACTTAATTGTTCCTGAATCAATTGCCAAGCAATCAATAAATCCATTCGCTTTATTTCACTGTATACTGTATCAAAATACTGTTGGGACATCTGGTGCTCTGACTGGCCTCCATCATTGAACTGCCGCCCAATCCCTGGCTCAGCTACTTTGCTTCCTGAGGAGAAAAAAAGATGACTGTACTGTGACTTATCTGACCTAGTGCCCAGCTTTGCCTGTCACCAAAACCCACCTCTTCTCTGCTCTGTTGGCATCCTGGAGGGATGCCCAAGAATATGTATAATGGAAGCAAATGGGTAAGCTGGCAAAGTATACACTCAGGAGTTTTTCAACAGTTCTGTAAAATACTGGGAAAAAGCTACCACAAAGGAAATGATAAAGTGATAGAACATGTTCATTTAGCACTTTACAGCTTACAAAGCCTATCCAAACTTATTTGGTACCATAGGTCCTGGAGGCCATGCATTGGCAGTTGACAAGGATGCTATGCCAACAGTGAGTGGCTGCCATCTTGTCTTATGGTTGTAGCATGGCTGCCATTTTGTCTTGTAGTTGTAGTGTAGCTGCCATTTTATTTTGTGGTTATAGTGACAGCCATCTTGTCTTGTGGTTGTAGTGTGGTTGCCATCTTGCTTTGTGGTTGTAGCATGGCTGCCATTTTGTTTTGTGGTTATAGAGTGGCTGCTATCTTGTCTTGTGGTTGTAGTATGGCTGCCATCTTGTTTTGTAGTTACAGAGTGGCTGCCATCTTGTTTTGTGGTTACAGAGGTGCTGCTATCTTGTCTTGTGGTTGTAGGGTGGCTGCCATCTTGTCTTGTAGCTATAGAGTGGCTGCCATTTGTTTCATGGTCATAGAGGAGGCTTACTTGCTCCTCTTTCATGAGTGGAGGGTACAAGCCAACAACAGGGACTTAGTTATGTCAACTTTGGGGCTTTATACCATCCACAGAAAGCAGGATATTCTAGTCAGGCAATTGGCACCTTACACATTTAAAGATGAAGGAAAATGGGGGAAGAGGGTAGGTGAGGGAGAGGAATGGTGGAGAGAGTTGCACCTACAGAGTATTTCTACTCTTAGTTGGTTGTCAGGCACAGGACTTCATATAAAGCAGTGTACCAAGTTGGAGAGTATTCCCTACACCCCTCCCAAAAATTCATGCCTACCCAGAACCTCAAATACAAAGTTCTTTGCAGATGTAATTAGTTAAATTGAGATGTCTTACTGAATTAGAATAGGTCTGAATCCAGTATAACTCAGATCCTCAAAAAGAGATTTGACATAGTACTGTGTAGACAGAGGGAGGAGGCCATGCCAAATGGCAGAGGACACTGGGAGGGATGGAGCAACAAGCCAAGGGAAGCTGAGGATTGCTGGACCCAAAGGAAGTTGTGAGAGGCAAGGATGAATCTTCCTGAGAGCCTTCAGAAGGATCCTAGCTCTGCTGATATCTCAATTTCAGACTTCTGGCCTCCAGAATGGGGCAGAATGAATTTCTGTTGTCTTAAGTCACCCAGTTTGTAGTACTTTGCTACTGCAACCTTAGGAAACTCTT